GAGATTGAATGGAATTTATAATGAATTAACTGATTCCTGAAGTTAAGAACAATAAAAAGCACTTTTGGTTAACACAATTATAGGATGGATGCATAAATAAAAAACAACAAAAATAGGAACCATCAAATTGTAACACAAATCACCTCTTAAACTTTCCACAGATTCAACAGCTCCTCGTAACTCATCAATGATTTGCAACCGTGTTGTCCAATCCTCACGCAAGGGTTTGACAACACGTAGTATTTCCTTGAGAGTGTTCTCCAATGTACTTTGTGCACTCATTTCACTACTGATTAACATAAGAAAATGACAAAACCTTAGTGCAAAATGGCTTCTAGCACTAACAATATAAGCAGAGTACACGATAGAAGCACTAAATTCCCTGCAAGATTTGCTTCCACCCCTTTCAGTCAGATGAATATCATATCAAAAGCAAAATATAACATTCCATCAAACAAATCGTAAACGCCCTTCAAGACAACCAACATAATCTGAATTTCGAGAATGTTGACAGCAATAAAAATTGTATAATCCATATATCATGCTGGAACTACAACACAGGTGCAGCTGTGGAACCATTTGGAATCATTACTGCATATCTTAAATTCGAACATAAAGGACATTGATATATATATACATGCTTCAGCAAAGGATGCTAAATACTATTTACACTAAGCCTACACAGCCTTAAGTAGCCAATCAGTGTACTTAAAACATATACAAATTACTGAATACAAACAAAAATGTAGTTTCTGGGAAAGCATAAAATCCAATTGAAAAGTAAGTAAAAACCCCCCAACAAATTAAATAAATAAAAATAATAAAGACAAACATCCCAATATCAAACTGTTGACTTATTATCGGAAACATCAACACTGAAAGTATTTACCATCAAGATTGAAGAACGATTATGCAACGGTCTAAATCAACAGCAGCAATTGATTCCCGAGTTTTCTAGGGTTTTGAATACTGATCAGGCACGCATTGCTTTCTATTCTTCTATATTAGCATAAATCATGACACTTCGTACAATAAATACAAATATATAGGCCGTGAGTTTAAGCTACAGTGTAGAAGTGGCCTGCTTTGCTTAGCGAGAAGGTTTTCGTTACCTTTTATTTTGAGCGACTTTTTTTTTTCCGTGAGGGCTTCTGATTGGCAGGCGAGGCGGGAAAGATGAGTAGGTTAAAGCATGGTGGGTTTGCTTTGAATCCGCTGAGTAGACTGTCGGTTCTGATAAATTTGGGAGTGGTGGGAAGATGAGAAATTGTGGACTGTAGAAAAAGAGGAGATAAGTGATAGTAAAAACAAAGCTTGGGAATTTACGGAAAACTTATTTATTTGTTTGTTTATGTGGGGGGCATAATGTATTTTGGTCAAACTCAAACTAAAGTTGCATGAATTTTTGCATATAGTAGATTTGGTATATTTATAATTTATATGGTCAATTGTGCACGGATGTATCACTAATTACTTGTCGTTTTAATTCTTAGGAGTTGATGCATATGAGGTATATATAATTATTGTTTAAAATTACCTGCTAATAATATTGGGTAATTGACACATATCTCTAATCTTTATACCATTTGTGGTCGATGAATGTAGCACCAAAAGTTAGGAGTGGGCATCAATTCCACCAGAATCAATTAACTGGCATCAAACAGTTTTTATTTTGAGCTTTCGCAAACCAGCTTAAATCAAACCGGACTCTCTAGTTGTATATTTTATATTATTTTATATTTGTAGTACTCTCATTGAATACTAATTACATAATGATTTTGAATATAAAGTTTGATGAAACTTTGAAATTATTGATATTTAAATTATATATATACATAAGTTATTGAACTTTGAAGTTTTACCATATGTTGAATTTTAGAACGATTTGAGACGCTAGAAAATTTAAAAATATAGAGCAAGTTATGATATTTTTCTTTTTTCATTAGGCTAGCAAAATTGAAAGAAAAAATATGCAAAAGAAAACAAATTAGGCTTAAGCCCAAATTGAACCAAACCATCTTGAATCAATTCAGTTAGTTTTGGTTTTGACTTGTTTGACACAAATTATTTACACCACTTATTTTTTCTTTGTTTTTGCCAGATATACACTATTTCATTTACCCACGACATATTAGTTATCTACCTTTTAGCTAATTAGCTAAATATATCCCATTTACTAAATTAGGTTATTGATATTTCATTACATAGGTTCTTTAACTTGTAATAGACATTCCAATCTTATCTTCATACAAAAGCTAATAGCTAATTAAAAAGGAGCTCTAATAGGTTCAAACATTACATGTGAAATTTGACGAACCACTGAAATGCTGTCTACAAATTAACATTCCTTCTAAAGAAAACATTCATTTGGTGAGCATAGAAATTCTAACCGCACTGTCTTTTTGTGAATCCCATTAAAAAAAAAACTCTATAGAGGGAGAGGAGGAAGAATCGTATTCGCCCCTCCTCTCTTTCTCTCTTCTCGTTTTTTTAAAATTTTTTTTTAAAAAAAAGGTTAGTGAATAAGTCCATTGGGGCGTTTTGAATAAGAAGCCCTTTGTGATGATTTCTTATAAGCTTGCTCATATTGAAGTTCATCATCATCCCTTTCAGGCATTCTCAAACAAATTCTTCTCCTAAAACCCGCTACCATGTTTTCTCCATATCTGTTACAGAGGATGTGATGTGTGTGGCCACAACGATGCTTCTTCAAGTAGTGGTGGTAAGGTTCGTTTAGGCTCGTAGGTTGTTTTAGGGTTTATATTGGGTATGTGACATTTGTTTGGACTTATGGTTAATTATGGTGATGTGGGTTAGTAATTTTAATGCGGCTTTTGTCTACTTTAATTTTGTTTTTATCATGTTAGTTTGTTGTCCTATTAAAATTGATACTTTAGATATTATGTTGATGTCGTATTGTTCAAGTTTGTCTTTAATAAAAACAAAAACATCCCCTTTGTATAATAATCCACACGACCCATATTGAATTATTATACAAAAGAAAAATAAATAAATATTTAATATTATAATAATTAGTACATGGTTTTGCCAAAACCAGCTTGAATAGAAGTTTCCAAGTTATATCATCAATATTCTGACTTTCCTTCCGCCACTGACGTGGTCTTCAACTGTCTGCAGCAATAACATTATAATGGTATTAGGGTTGAGTCAAATCCTTAAGGTGCGGAGATCCGATATGCGTTTGTTCTTCTATTTCCAACTTATTATTTCATTGTTGCACCTCGTAATATAATATTTATGTATATCGGATATGTCCTCCCATCAAAATAATAAGGTCAAAGATTCATGACAAAATTCTGATCCGTCTTACAAAATTAATATATAATACATTTATATTTTTCACATTTAACGTGTTACGTGCTAATCACGTGATCAGTTATTACAAAAGAATGCTTATATAAGAGTCGTATGAATGAACGTTTTCATTTTTCTTCTTCTCATTATATCATTTAACGAAAAAAGCGAAAAGAGGAAAAAGGTGAACGAGGTGGTCCATATCAATCAAACTCTCAATTATGCAAAGAACATGGCTATGCCTCGCCATCTCAAGAAAATATCATGCCAACCATGGCCGACCATTGAGGGGCTTTTTTTTTCTTTTCTCTTTTTATATCAAGATAGTTGCACTAACATTTCATGTCATCCTCTCATTTCTTTCCATTTTATGATTCGTGTAAATTGACTAAAAACTCACGTTACTCAATAAGCTTGAACCCAAAAAAAAGAGGTTATGTTAAAGGGCAGAGAGACCCTTTTTATTTCTTCCTTAATTTTGAGGGCACAGTTGGTCCATGGCCATCAACATCAAGATCTAAATAAATCTAAGCCAGCTCAGAGATGTTGATGCCACAGGACCAGCAACAAAGATCAAACGCTACGTGTCCGCAACCCATTGAGTGGGACGATGTGTGTGTGGCCCCACACATTGTTGTCGAGGAATAAAAATCGAGTGGTGGAACCCCCAAATCTGCCCACTCGGGCCATGAAAAGGGCGCCTACATACCCTTTATCCAACTACGGCCACTCTGCTGATGAAAGAGAACCTCAAATTTATCCCCCCACGGCGGCATAGGGTCCCAAAAGAACCCAAGTCTTATCGCCATTGTAATCTTTACATCATTGGACTCAAATATTCCCAGCACCAGCTTGAGAGCTTGAATACAACCCAAGAATCTCAAGCATTAGGCCTAATGCTTTACTCTTATGAAATTATTTGAATAAGGAACTCGGTGCATGAATAATTACTCTTAGTAGCGTGAACTACAAACTCATGTCGTGAACTACAAACCCATGTCATTTGAATACATAACTCGGTGCATGAGTAATTGCTCTAAGTTACTTGAGTTACGAATTCAACGTGAACTACAAACCCATGTCATTTGAATACATGACTCGGTGCATGAGTAATTGCTTTAAGTTACTTGAGCTACAAATTCATGTGTAGCACGTAAGGTTTAGTATTTTGCATTTGCACATGTCATATTTCTACACGTATTGAAGACTAATTTGCGGGTAAATAGGAAAGCATTTCGTTTGGAATGGTGCAAAGTTCAACTGCTTGTTTAATTTTTTCGCCTAATTCCAAAACCAAATGAAAACCATTCATTTAACCAAACTGATTGCAATCCCAACCAAGGGAATCGTACAATTCAAGGAGAAAAGGAGAAAAACTAATCTATTATACAATTATATTCACTATTTAAGTTGGTATAATATCACATTTCTGCAAACTTCTGCAGTAATGTGAATATTGTAAAACCTTTAAAATAAAAATAAAAATTAGGAAAAAAGGCCCCAAACCACACCCAAAAATATAAAAAACAAATCCTCCAAACTTGTTAATTAATTAAGAGAAAATAAGAGCAGCCTACAACAATCAATTAATAATCGAAAGCCACTCTCTGGTAATTTCCCTCTTCCACTGACTGTTGGCTAGATTAGTATTATATCGTCTTCATGTAATTCAAACGACGCCGGATTTAGCACCCCCCGGGTCTTCTCAAATCCACCACGACAACGCTTACGTTGTCGCTGCTCTGCCTAGCCAAGGCCAACTTGGTCAACAAAATGGAGGCGTCCGAACACGCCTTGTCGGACCTCACTGCCGCGTCAGTTCCAGACGACTCCGAATGCGAGGTCGTCTTCTGCGCGCGCAAGCACATGCGAACGACTCCGCACGCGGTGTCGTTTGATACCACGTCCCAGAGGCCGTCGCTGGCCAGAATCAGACACTCGTCCTCCGCCGACCGATCCATGATCGTCACCTCCGGTTCCGATATCACGTACGGTTTCAGATAGTTGTCGCCAATGGCTCTCGACATGGCCAAAACTCCCAGGACTCTCGCACCGTCCCAGTAGATGACCCGCCCGCCCGCGGCTTCGATCCGAACCAGCTCATCGGGTCGATCTGGCTGCAATAACAAAATAAAATAAGCGCACGTTAGCTACCGTGTGGTGCACGCGCAATCAATTAGCATATTTAGCATCTGAGTCTTTGCCCTAGTCCTAATAAGTTGACGCGCCAAAAACAAAATTAATCATAGCGTTCCGGTTCAAATGAACTCGTGGTCTTGAGATTTAGATCTCCAAAAAGTCACGAAAATTCAATTTTTTTATTTATCGGGAAAAGCGAGGGAACTTAAAGCTCACCTTATGATCGGAGGAAAGAGGGACGGCGACGCCGTTGCGGCAAAGCACGGCGCGAGAATCGCCGCAATTAGAGACGATAATTTTCTCCGGAGTGACGACAGCAACGACCGCCGTAGATCCAACGGCGTCGCACTGCGGAGTCTGAAGCTCGCACCGGCAATTCGGGCCTTGAGCAACCAGGTTTCCTTCCTGGACCTCATCGTCCATCTTTGCGAAGCTTCGCTCCATCGCGCCCTTCCACTGTATGTACGCGCCTTCCGTTTCGAGTTCTTGCTTCACGATTTCATGCAACCGATCCTTGCACTTCAAGGCCACCTAAAGAAACCAAACAAAATCAGAGAGAAAAAAAAATTAAATCGGAAACAAAAAAGTGCGGGAGAATCGGTGAAGTATAGAATTCAGATTAGGATTGGTGGAATTACATGAGAGCAGCCATGGCCGTCGAAAACGCCATAGAAGTGGGCTTCATTAGAGTCTGGACCGTCGTTTTGGTAGAACGAAGGGTGAATCGAAACGGCGTCTTCCATGTCTCGTCTTCTCCCACAAACCGACATCATACCAAACCGAGGGCTCTCCTGCAGTGCCTGCACCTGCACCTGCACCGCTTCGTTGTCCACACGCAGAGACTTAGACTCCTGATGATCTCCACGTGTATTCACAGCTTCAAAATCATCGTCGCCAAAACGCACCGTCGCGTTCAGCTTGGACTCTTCGCTTTCCAAGGAGCTTTCCACTGCTTTTTGTGGCACCGATGACGATGAATGGTACAGATCGATCTTCTGCCGCTTCCGGCCGTTCTCCACCGTCGACGGTTTCACGGCTACGTCAGCTATGTATCTAAGCGGTAGGAGCTCCAATCTCCTACGCCTCGAATTCCTTGGGCTTGCGTCAATCGTAGTCGACGCCTCAGCTTCTCCGACAACACCGCAGCAAATTCCAGCCATTGAAATTCAAACAAAAACTCAATCAAACTACAACACAAATCACAACAAACTCTTCTTCTCTGCTCCTCAGACCTGAAAGGAGAGGGAGGGTATGAGGCTACAGAAATATAAGGGATTTTGAGAATAATAGCAAGAGAGAAAGGGATCTCTTAAAATGGCTGTGCACCGAAGCTTTTTCTAAACGAGAAAAAGAGCCACCTCACCACCCTCCACGCACACCCGCAACAATTTCACCTGGGGGCCACAACAGGCCTAATCACGGGCAGCTTGCCCGTCACCATCACGGGCAGGATCCGACATTGTACAGTTGGTATGACGTCGAACTACTGAATACAAAAGCGCCATCTCCACCGTCCATCTCATCTCTCTCTTCCTCATATTTCAACACGTGCCTGGCCTTTTCCACACGTATACGTGGCCTAATTTTGTGATGACACGGTAGGTGTAGGCGGTGTCCTTTTTCTGACACGCATGTGGTCCTTGAACGACCGACCCCTCTCGTCTTTTTAATATTTTTTACTATCTAATTTTCTCTCTGTTTTTTTTTAATCACTGGGTTCGGAGTATTCACCACGTGGCGGCATCCCAGAGTACGATATTCGGGTTTTGTTGCCTCCCCCACACGCATTACTGCGAGTATAACAATACCACCAGCTTCCGGAAGCCTGGGGGGGGGGGGGGGGGGGGGGGGGGGGGGGTCATCGTCAATTTTGATTTTTGGAGCACCCGACGATGATGCAACACATTATTCCACCCAAAAAATATATTTTATTTTATTTTAATGATATTTAGTTAAAATTTATGATTTTTTTTTTCTATTTCCTAATACGGTATTGCATGAATTCACTCTTAGGGCCAGTTTGACATTACGGTACTGTAAAAATAATCGTTGTGAGATAAATCAGCTTTGAGATAAAGCAGTTTGGCGTTTGGTAAAATTTTTGTTTAAAATGTTGTTGGTATTGTTTTACGCATAATCAGAAATTGATTCCCGCATAATCATTAAACCCAGCGCCTCTTTGAAATTTATTCATGCATAATCAAAAAATGAAAGTACCTCATTAGTTGCTTTTCCTTAGAGCATCTCCAAAGGAGATGTCAAATACCAAACATTAAATTTAAATTTGATGGCTGATGTGGCAATTTGACATTTACACAATTTTTTACTCCACCCGATATGTCAAATAAATAATTATTGTAACAGTCAAATCATTTAAGATAAAGAAGAAAAAAAATAAAAAAGGAAAATAATAAATGAAAGTTGCAACCAACTGTCTTTAAAAAATAATAAAATATTCATTTGACATCTTGCTTTTGGGATGTCAAAAATAACAGCCGAACCTCTAGCCTTCATTCCACATCAGCTTTGACAATTCGGTTTGAGTGATGTGTGATATTATTTCTAACCGTTAAATGTCTATATGGCACTTTTGACATATCGGTTGGAGATGCTCTTATAGTTTTCTCTCATAACAATTTTTAACAATAAATGATTTTTTTACAGTTTACCAAACGAGTTAGGCTTCTCAAATTTTTTAAAAAATCAGTTATCACCCCAAATAAGTAATGTCAAACTATCACTTAGCCAACATTTATCTTTAAGTTTGGAATTCATATAATACGAGTGGATCAATCTAAATATCATTAGTCATTGATCATCATAGCTCTTGATTTAGTCAATCGTATTTAAATTTGAAATATACCTCAATTTTGAAATTTTCTCGTTTTTCTAAGAAAAAATTTATATTGAAATCTCTTTCTAGCTGCAAAAGAAAAAAAAATGTAAGGTGAAATGTAATTTCGTTTGGACTTTACATATCACAAATGTTTTTTAGTTTCAAGTAAATAACACCTACTAATGAACATAAAACATATTTACAATAATTGAAAAGATAAATATTTTTGTTAAAAGCTTGAAAACAAGGTACAAGTGAACCGATGAGAAATGTTATTTTGTCATCACTTTGGCAAATATTTTTGTTAATAGATTGTGAATCCATACTATTCATTTATATTATTTAATGTATGTGAAGTTTATCTCGAATTAAGTTTATTTGACTTGATAGAAATGAATATGTAAAGTGTATATATATTGAATTAAGTTAATGGAACTTGATAAAATGAATTCATACCATACTTACTATAATTTGAACTAACAATAATTCACTTATTTGAGCATTCCAAAATGGTTAAAAAGACTATTGGAGATGCTCTAAGAACGATAGAGGCTTATTTGATTGGGATGCATAAATCAATAGTCAATAAATCTGATTTTCTTGTTTTCTTTTTTTTTTTCTTCATCATGCAACTGACATTGAATTACCAATTGCTTTTAGATGAAAAAAAGAAGAAAAAGAAGAAGAAGGGGTGTAGTGCCCGTCTCAAAAACGTGAGGCAGCGTAGGGACGTAAAGGTAATATTAATCCAACAGCCGGTGAGCAGGTGCCACGTAAAAGGACGTGGGGGTGTGGGCTGTCAAGCAATGAGTTCCTTTCGACTAGTTCCCACATGTGGTGACCCACCCACTAGATGCATTGCCACGTAAGGGTCAATAACTCAGTCACTGTCCCTCCCTCTCTCTCTGACTAAAACTCAACTCAACCTCAACGCCCCTCTCTCTGACCACGGTTCACCTTACCCATGATGATCATTCGTCACAGGTTAGGTCTCAATTCTCAAATTTTCAATTTCCAACTTTTTTTAAATATTTTTTTAATACAAGTCATATCGAGGTAAGAGACTGAATCTAAAATCTTAGGTACATGGTATTAAGTATTAACCACTTAAGTTCATGATAACTTTTTATATATAATATATATAAACTTTTTTTTAATGCTGACGTTTTAATGTTATTATTGTGTGGATGTTATGTATTTTCCATTACCCCTCTTTGTTTTTTTCATAGTTCACAATTATGTCCGCACGATAATAACGTCACTTATATATTAATATAAGTAATAATCTAAATAACTTTAAATTAATATAAGAGCATATCAAAAGGAGATGTCAAATTGCCACGCGACATGAAATGACAAAAATTAAAGATTAAAGTTATTCCAATTGTTTTGTGATAAAACCTCACACTTAGTGGCATTGTATGTGGTTAAGTTGGAAATAATATCGATGTGGTTAGTAATGAATTGTTGATCCGTCTCTTTGTCAACTGGTTTGGCATCGTTGTTTGGCGCCATTGGTGTTTATGGTGAAGAACATAAAGGAGGTTATTGTACCATGAAGAAAATTGAAGTTCCCGAAAACCAATTAGCAATGGGGGAGTAACTCAACTTCTTATAAGCCATTACACAAGGTTTTTAATGTGAGATTTTTTACCTTCACATTCTCACAAATCGAGTAGTCAAATTCTACATGAATTTGAAGATTAAAAGAGATGTCAAAATAACATCTCAAAAAGCTTGATGTCACATATATTATAAACTTTTTTCAGCCATAAATCACATTATCATTTACTCACTTTTAATATGTTATGCATAATATGAATCTAATTTACTTTTTAAAATGTAATATTTAATATTTTTGGGTGAAATTCAATTTTAATTAAATATTAAATTATACATAAATCATCAAATTCCAATTCAACATTTTGTATTTCACATCTCAAACTCCAACCAACTTACAAGGAGAAGGAGACTTAAATTTGGATGCGAAAAGGTATTGACCTAACTCAATTATGGCTTTTATATTAAAATATTAAATATCAAATATTACTAAATTCCGTCGAAACTTGGTATTGTAAGCTGCAACACGTATTACGATAACAACACGTATCCAACTTTCCTAATTCCCAAAATACCCATCACCACAACATCTCCAAAGAAAGAAAGTTCTTTGATGTTTGGGAGACGTGGAGGATTGTGTTGGTGTGGGGTGACACGTACAAGCCCACACACCCTTTTCACCACGTCACTCTTGGCTTGAAATTCAGAGGTCTTTTCCTGTAGAGGTAGGTTTCCTTTAATTTTTAATTTATTTTATTTTCTTTTTCAATGTGTGCACCAGAAAGAAATATCGTCTCTACGGTTTTCTGTGTGCCTGCCTCTTTTCTCCCACTTATTAGATATTTTCTGTGTGCCTTTGGTTTTCTCACCAACCAAACAGACTATGAGAGAACCGAACAAAGGGTACAAGTAAAACGTGACCCAACATAGGACCACAATTTTTGTTCAAAAGTTTCTCACAAGGAAATGATGCTGAGTTCAGCTTAATAAGTGGTAAAACATTGGCTGAGCATCTGGGAGAGGTCAGAAAAATACATGAAAAAATGACAAACTAAAGACAATTGTATACCATAAAAACATAACAGAACATGGGCGTAAGAACGTGAGAGACAGGGGCTCAAAAATCAACATGGCCGCCTACTGGGGTTAAAATTAAAACTGTTCACAGTCATTCCTCCATCAACAGAAATAATCTGTCCAGTGATGTAAGAAGCAGCAGGTAGGCAGAGGAAGGCTACCAGAGATGAGACCTCCTCAGGTTCTGCTACACGATCAATAGGGGTACGTGAGGTTATCTCTTCCAAAAATTCCTTGTTACCCAACAACTGAAAAGCAGCAATGGAGATCACCAATCAGATCAATTGAAAATCAACATCATCACCCATCAATTTGAATACTTTCATCAGAAAACCCAAATTTTGTTTCATTCACATAAATATAAATTGCATTTAATTATTGAGATATGCAAAAAAAATATTCTCCATGAAGTTAAGTATAGATTAAGATTAAAAGATGTTGTTGAACTAGAATACACAGAGATCTATTATCTTAACTTATAAAGGGTGTCTGCCCTATTGGTCATTGACGTTGCCCTATTATCTAAACTTAATGATTACCCCCAACATAAAGATTAGACTGCCTAAAGGCAAACCATGATTACTAAGTAAGCTTTATTTTCAAAATCACGCACATATTGAAGATTAGTAGTTCTCAATTTGGATAATAAAAAATTTAAAAGGAGGGAGGTTACCCCATCCCAATGTCAGGGCATATTGAGGACTTATAGAGAGGATCTTAGCCTTTTTTTTTACAGAATACCCATCAAGAGGAATTGTCAGCAACGGAATTCGAACTTAGGTCTTGATAGCAAAGAGAACAATCCATACCAACTTAACCAACCCTCCTTGGCATAGTTCTCAATTTCAGTATGGTGTATAACTCTAAATTCATCAGAAGTTTCAGAACCTTTGGCACATGTCTGCACAAAGGCCTCAGCAATTTCTGCCTCACTAAAATAAGTACTTATCGAATAACACTTGCAAGAAAAGACCTGGAAGGGTTTGAAAGAGAGGGGTGAGTATATTTGAAGATTGGGATATAGGTATAAAGCTCCCACGGTGGGGTCTACAAAATCGTACCTTTGTTCAACCTGAGATATTGTCCGAAGTCCTATAATTGAGCTGAACTGGTACTCGATAAATTCTTTCAGAATGTCTTTTGCCACTGTTCTAAGTTGAACATGACATAACAAGCATGTCAATTACTCTATCTATATTTTTCGTAATGAAGCTGGACATTATCCAGTCCGTAAGATTCTCATTCTGAGCATGAACTAACATATTCACTTTCAATGTAATTCCCATTATAGGGTGAGAAACAAGTCTAAGGTTTTGTGGGTGCATCTTCATGCTGAATAAACATGCTATAACATACTCCTATGGCAAACACAAAAAAGTTGTAATTGAAGTAATATTGAAACATATTTATATCACCTAAATGACCACAAGAAGGAAAGAGTATTACATGTTCCACAAGTGAGGTTCTGGTATACCAAGGGCAAACAGAATTGCTCCTGATATTGTCTTTTGCCCATTCACAAGCCAGGTTTTTTGTAAGCTGATTAATTGCAGCTGAAAATGGAGAAGAGGAGACAACAAAGAGAATTTAGCTTTTGCCTTTTCACACTAATCGAATTTAATAGATCATATGGATTATGGAGCAAAATAAGACACGCCATAGCAGAGCAACAGCTCACCTTTACTTGCTGCATAAATGGTCCCAGAGCCTATGCCCACCAAGCCAGCAACAGAGGATATAAACACAATGCTTCCTGCTCCAGATGCTCTCAAAAGAGGATGTGCAAGTTGGGAAAGATGGTATGTGGATTCTAAGTTGGTAGCCATGAGTATTGAATATTCTTCAGAAGTGTACTCAGTAGTTGGCTTCCTGATGTTTGTCCCAACATTGTTTACCTACGCCCACAATCACATTCAATGTAACCCTTTTTCTTCCTCATAAAAAGACAATCTTTAATTCGAGAATTGAAGTCATAACCACAACACCTTTCTACTTGGGCTATGAAACATTAAAAAGTTCTCTTCTTTGTGACATTTATACAAGCAGCCAGAGCACAAAATAAACAGACGGTTACTAACAAGTATGTTGAGCTTGCCATTGAAAGAAGAAGCCACTTGCTGCACGAGCTTTTCTCTCTCGGTTTTAGACGAGGCATCACAAACAGACCCAGTGACCAGAAAGCCCTTACCCTCCCATTCCTTTAAGCACTTGTGAAGTTCTGCTTCGTTCCGAGAACAGGTGTGCACAGCCGCACCAAACCCAGCTAGCTCTTCCACTACGGCATACCTGAATTGAAAAAAGAGCGATGAATCGAAATCAATATAATTAATTTCAACAAAAAAACTCAGTTTTAAAAGAAGCCCATGAGACAATTTGATGAATTTTGTGAGAGAGAGAGAGAGAGAGAGAGAGAGAGAGAGAGATACCCAATTCCACGAGTGCCACCGGTGACGAGGGCAGTCATTCCTTTCAGAGACCATCTGGAGTTTGGGAGGCTGCTCTCTGCCTTAGCCATTTTCGCGGTTTACAAGCAACTTCACTCAACCGGTAAGAGCATTTCCAGCAAGGGGCCTTGGGGGGAGGGCTGGGGGAAAATGGTGTTTCCAGCAACACAAAGCTGCCAGGGCAAGGTGTGGGCCCCAGCAAAAAAAATTTGCCTGGGCTAGCCCTTGGGGAGGTCCAGCCCGAGCAACAAAACTCGTTTTGGGCTGACGTCAGCGCAACTGTTTAAATTTTTTTAACGTTGGCGCGTGCAACGCATGCGCCAACCATAAAAAAAAATTTGACGCGCCCGCTACAGTGACCCGCCAACGGGTCTATTCCACGTGGTGCCCACTGAAGCTGTCCGATCAGCTTTATTCCAAATCCAACGCTTCTCATTTTTCGCGAATAAAAAAATGAAAAAAAAATCGAAAGTCGCACCCAACGGCTCTCTTCCACGTGGCGATGCTCTGGGCGCTCCGATTAAGTTCTTCCAACAATCCAATGGCAGCTGTTCATTCTGGCCAAAAAATAATGAAAAAAAATCGAAAAAAATTTGAAAAAATACCCAAAAAAATACTGATGTTTTTTCCTATAAATACCAACAAATACTCTTCACTTTTAACACCAACTCTTCATACATTTTCTTCTCATTCTACCATTATTCACTTTGTAGTCTATATTTTTTTCACTTTGAAGTTGAATTTTTCTAGAAAAATTTATGGGTTCTTCTAGTGAAACCGGAGGGGCATGGAGTGTCATGGAAGATGTTAGCTTGTGTGAGTCTTGGCTCCACATTAGTCATCCCGTAACGGGCAATGATATGAAATTCTGTCATATGTGGAAAAAAATTCATCAGGATTTTTGTGAAAGGGTAATTGGTTCGACCCGTACAGATCAGGCACTATCTAGTAAGTGGAAAATTCTTAACAAAGAGTTGGCGAAATGGAGGGATGCCTTGGCAAAGGCGATGGACAACCATAGAAGCGGGGAAAACCTTACCAGTGAGGTAAATTATTTGTAATTTTTGTTTTATTAATTTCTATGTCATATTAAAGTTTATTTAAATATTTCTTGCAATTTATATATTTTGTTAATATTTCTTGTATTTCCAATATTAATATGAATGTTTGTTGCAATATTTAAATTTTGTTTTTCATTTCTAATAAATTGTTAAGGTTTCTTGTATTTCCATTATTATTTTTTTATACTTGTTGAATTGCCAATAATTTTTAAAGTTTCTTGCATTCTCATTTTTTTTTATAGACTATACAAGCACAAATATTTTTTGGTGCTACTGGGCAAGGAAAAAAAAGTTTCAACCATACCCATTGTTGGGAGGTGGTGAAGAATTGTAAGAAATTCCAAATTATTCAAACGGGTTCGACGGTAGTCTTGAACGAGACGCCACTCCATGAGACACCGGCATCGGATTGACCCAGGACGTTCAAATCATTTTGAGAGCCGGCAACTCCAAAGAAGGCGTGCCAAACCCAGGTATCAAAACCAGCAACTGCTTCGAGGATGATGCTTTTCTGCCCTTTCCGATTACCATAATCCCCTTGCCAAGCAGATGGATAATTTTTCCATTGCCAGTGCATGCAGTCAATGCTACCAATCATTCCAGGAAATCTACGAGACTCAGCTTTTTGTAAAAGCCGTTGCAGGTCCCTGGGCGTAGGTCTGCGCAGGTAGTCCATGGTGTACAGATTTTCCACTACATCACAAAATCGCACCAAGCTCTCCAAAATAGTGGACTTCCCCATCCGGGCAATCTCATCCACCTGATCAGCAGATGACCCATACGCCAACATTCGTATCACAGCTGTGAACTTTTGCTCGGGAAGCAGCCCCAAATCTCCAGCACAATTTTTATTTTGAACAAAGTAGTCATCATAATTGCAAATATCATGCATGACTTTATTGAACAAATGGGGTTGCATTCTATATCTTGCTCGAAAATGAACATCATAGTACAAAGATTGTGGGATAAAATAATCTTCCAGAAGATTCTTACCCCGAGAATGTCTATGTCTGTCCACATTCGATGCCCGGCCTTCTCGTGAACCACGACGGCTCTGGTTTTCTTCCTCCATCAAAGCAACGGCCACACCAAGTTGCTCATCTAGTTCTCTCTGCGCCCTTTTGCTTGCAGCTTTTCTGCGCATTCTTGCTCGCCTTTCTCGCTCTTGCCTATCCAAAACATCTTCCATGTCTGACATTGAGAATGGAGAATGAAATCTAAAATCTGAGAAATGAAATCTAAAATATGATAAATGAAGATGCAGAGAAGATATGGTGTGGGAGGTATGAGCTGGGCCTCTGGTTTTATAGAAAAATTTAGACAGATAGAGATGACACGTGGCGCAATTTTAGAGGATGAAAATCTTATCTGAAATTTGAAATTCAAATGAAATTTGGAATTGGTAATTTATCTGGAATTTGAATTTCGAAATGTATCTGAAATTCAAAATTTGAATTTATCTCAAATTTGAATTTTGAAATGTATATGAAATTTGAAACCGAAAATCTTATCCGATATGAATAGTATTGACACGTAGGAACCCAAAAATCTTATCCAAATTAATTGTTTAAATAAACAAAGTTGTGAAAAAAACAAAAAAATGAATAGTATTTGCCATGGCAAGGGGCTAACTGCTGGAAACACACATTTGCTTGGGGGAGCTAGGGCAGCCACTATTCATATGAATAGTAACTGCCCTAGGGCTCCCCTTGCCATGGCAAGGGGCTAACTGGTGGAAGTGCTCTAACTGATAGCCAATAGCCATCAGCCACTCCAAAGGATATAAGATTATAATAATACAAAAAATGATGTGGCACAAATATCATCAAAGCTTTTCATACCAAAGAGAGAAGGTTGACAAATTATACAACATAGATAGCAACTTTTTCTCTAACCTTTTTCTTTTGACATTCTTCCTTGTTTTTCATGACATGTGTTATTCTCATTACACTTAAAACAATGTCATTAATGCATTATACAAGCTAACTTTTGATTTCCAAATTTACCATATTCTTTTTTTTTTTTTGACAACTCTCTTACCATCTTAATAAAAAAATTTAAAAAAATTTTATCGTCAATTATTTTTTTGGTCTTTGCTTCTTGTTTGTACAGGTTTTGGCTCTCCTCTAAGCCTTTTTCCTTGGGTTGTTATAAATGTTTATCTTCATGACTATTAAAAAATAATAAAAATAGAGTAGAGCAACATATTATAGCCGTTTGTATAATATGGATGGAGATCACTCTTTTGTTTTTCTTTTGTTGATCTAAACTGTAATTTATTTATTTATTTCATATTGAATTTGATTTTGATGATTTTTTTATTCTTTTGCTTCTATATATTTTATCTCAAGCCTATGTTGTTAGGGGATATTTTGGTTTATTTAGTAGTATAAAAAATGCAATCAGGGAATTTCCTTTATTTAAAAAAAGAAGTTAGTATGTAAACTCTGTACCATTGGGGTGCATACAGATGTAAATGACGTCTTTTTATATATAAAATAGAAAATTGACAATTCTTTTGTGTTTTTTTTTAAAAAAAAAGAAGAGGAAGAAGAGGAAAGCAGACATTTTCTTTCAAAAAAAAAAATTATGTTAAAAAAAAAAAACTTTTTATTAAGATGGTAAGATAGTTGTCCAATTTTTTTTTTTTAATCAATTGAATAGGGTAAACTTGGAAATCAAAAGTTAGCTTGTATAATGCATTAATGACATTGTTTTAAGTGTAATGAGAATGACACATGTCATGAGGAAAAGGGAGAAGGTCCAAAGGATAAGGTTAGAGAGAATGTTGCTAGCATTCCCCATACGACATTATGTGATGTCCTTCAAATATCAATAATTCAAGGAAAAAACTATTTGTAATTGCCCATTTGGTTTTTTTTTTCCTTTTATTTTTGGTGTTTTGGTTTCCATGCATCACTTGGTTAGAGACTCTCACCGTAAAATACATATGCAAATCTAGCTTGAGCAAACATTTTTGTTGATAAATTCCAATTTCTTATTGCCTCCCAACCATGTAACCTAAAGTACAATGCATTCTGCTAACGAGATCTAGTCCAGTGGAAAAATGCCTTAACTTGCAGATTAATAGTCTCAAGTTTGAACCCCAATAACACTGTAGTGGTGTGTGTGAGAAACCACCAACCAGTTAGATAATTGTTTGTACTAAAAAAAGTATAGTGCATTCTGGTCAGCCTAAATGCCTAGCAAGCTCTATGGGCCACAATGATTATACGTACAATTGAGATAGGGCCAGCTAACTGGGGTGTTTGGCCCAAATCAAGCTTTTGCAAAATCTAGCAAAACCCAATAAGCGGCCCTTATGTATAAATCACCTACCAACCAACCCATTTATGAACATACTATCCAATTTGTCTAAAAAGCTCTCCCACATCAAGCTGAAACCAACCCCCAATGTAACTAACAGAGTTCTACAATATCTCCTCATTCCCTTGTAATTTCCTGTTACAAATTAAAGAAACAGATCACAGACGCAGACCACATCTGTCGTCTCCATGTCCATGTGCGTTTCTGGCTCTCCTTCAACTGCACCTTAAATTAACCTCATCACTCTCAGACTGAAAAAAGGAAAATACCAAAACAAAAACAGCTACTCTTAATATTCAGATCTCGATAAATGTTACAAAAGGTCAAAAAAACAGACCAACGAAACTACTTCAACTGCCAGAAACCAGACCAGACACTGCCCCAATTATGGTCTCCTTTTTTAACCCTTTCTTACACAAAAACAGGTACCTCATCGAAACCAAAGTAAAAGCAAACTTCATACCCCCTTTTACCCATTACCCCTCCTCGAAAAATATGTTCATATATTAAAGTGTACATGGAAAGAGTCTTACATTTCCATCACCCAAAAATGGAAAAAATATTGTTGGGGTAACATAAATTCCCTCCAGATCTCTGCCAAGAACATTAAGTCAAAAGCCAGCGATGTTTCATCATCAATTTGCCTTATAAAGAAAAAGTTGAAATAAAACACAGTTGATATTCCTAGAGACATCCCCGTGTATTCTGCAGGAAACCATGGGTGTGTTATAATGGTGGCTTTAGTATATTCCAGGGTACCACATTACTCTAACCAGATAGGAGGAGCCTAGCTAGGGTTTTTGAAATGAAAAAAAAAACTATATATAGTTCTTCTAGGGTTGGCCATTTGTCGTTGTGGGTTTCAACATGTAGCTAGAGTCGTTCCAAAAGTAAAAACAAGGGACGCGTGAATAGTGCCATTGATGTGAGTTTTGTTTCTGTCTGGGATGCCATTTTAATAAAATGGTATTGATTTTACTCTCTCGTGGGCAGGGTTTGTATTAATTTAATTGAATTTGATTCCCATAGGGTTGGTGCTTGGTGGACTATTTTGGAAGATAATAGAGAGAATGAAGGACATAGAATTGAAGAGAAAAACAGAAACAGATCCACACAAAAGGGGTTAATAGTTAACTTGGCATTTAATTGTATTAATTGATGATCTCTCTTTAGCAATGCATGCACTGTTGAATTCAGTCCTTTGGGATATTGTAGCTGAAGTGACTTTTGATGTCAGTTACTTGTCAGTTCTTTCACCAATTTACAACCTCACAGATACAGTTAAGTTTCCACCCCTTACCTCACTCGGCAGGAAGAAGAAAACAAACAAAAAGCGATAAACATGAAAACAAGCACAAAGCAACATCTCTCTCTCTCTCTCTCTCTCTCTCTCTCTCTCTCTCATGATTCAAGTATGAGGACTGGGAGTCAACTAATGGTAACTACTGTGTACCTCTTTGAATAATTTCTTACAACCCGAACAGCAAACCTGGTAGATCTGAAAATTGATGGGAATTTCATGTCTTTGGAACTTCATCTATCTGTCTATCTATAGCTAACAGGTGGAGTGGAATATACATCACACCTCATAAACCCTAATGCAAGACTTTATCATGTTTTCACATCAAGATATATCTATATATAGGAGGAGGAAGTGGCCGAATATTGAGCAGCACCGATTTAGCTTACTCTTTATATATGGATGCTCTCTGTCAATTGAATTCCAGTTTCAAGCATAACATTTTATCATCACATCAATACCATGTATAGTAACTAATAATAATTCAGAACTGATCAAATGAATATCGATTAGACAAACAAAAATAAAAAATAAAGTGCAATCAATTAATGATCTTGACTTGAATTATGTGCACCTCAAGCTGGCATGCTTGATTTCCCTTGAATCATCTAGAGGATGGGTTTGCCAAGAAAGAGATGGAAAAACAGTAAACGCAGAAAGTGATTTCCTTTAAAATTTCTTCTGATTAATTTAAAAAAGCAGTGCAACATAAGACCATGAGCCCATACAATTGCATTGCCAGGCCAAAGTGGTTTCATTTCACCTTGGGAGGGTCACCAAGCCTGAGCTCAAGATCCAAATCTTCCATGGAGGAGCTAGCCATAAGCCCAGTCACCTCTGTTTCTGATTGGAGAAAAAATGGAAATGAAGAAATAGCTGCAGTAGCAGTCTTTGGCCTTTTACAACTGATGCCTGCCTCTTCCCCACAAGACCCACCTTGTGATCTGTTTCGGCTAACAACCGAAATATTTAACCCCACAGACAAATCGGTCTCGACATTAAAATCACCATGATCATAACTACCTAGCAGGCACCTAGACTCTTCTTCTTCTCTGGTCATGATATTGTTTTCCAATTGATGATCAGACTTTGAATTATCTGACCAAGATGGAGCAGAAGTAGCAGAATGATGAGAGAGAAAAGCGCATTCAGCACCTGAGTAATTCTTCTTCTGAATAGAGACTAAAGCTGAGGGAGCCCTAGAAGGTGATGAGAAAGGACATGATATTGAGGAAGTTATAGGTTGATGATGATCATCATGATCATGATCAGATGGTTTAGAAAGCTGATGATGATGATGGGCCTCATGGCTATGATGATGATGGTGGTGGTGAGCAGTGTTATTGGGGTTAAGGCATTGCTTAAGTCTGGCTCTGTCTCTCCGGTGGACATTCATGTGTCCCCCTAGGGCTTGAGCTGACCTGAATTCTCTCATACAAAAGCTGCAGGAATAAGATCTTGGAGGCCATATACAACCCCCAAGAGGACCATGCCCAGCTGCATCTGCAGCGAAAGCCTTCTCTTCCCATGTTGTTGAGTTCATCGATGATGGTGATGATAATGAGCACTTG